ATTGTTGAAATCAAACACCACATGTTTCAACTATTACTGAGAGAAACATGAGGGAAACTTTAATATTGTACCTCAAAATATAACATTGGATAAACATTACTTTTTTAATAAAGAAGGAAGGGAGACAGCACAAATGTAGCTGGCATAGTGAAATCTACACTTAACTCTCATCAGAAGGTTGAATTGTCTGTTTCAGTTAATAAATTCCCCAAGACCAGTCCTAAATGATGGAGAAGTTTCCCTTCATAGTTCCAGACATTGTTGCCTTAGTACTTTGATAATATAAATACTTTTCATAGGGAACTAAGTGTGTTAAACTATTTGTTGAGAGAATATGGATCCATTTAAACTTGTAAATGATGTCACAGGAGATTGGCAGGATCACTATCTGGGAACATGGAGAAACGGGGCCCACAGAAAATAGAAGAGCAGGAGATGGTGAAATGTTGTTTTGGAGGATAAGCTTCAGTTGAAAAGCAGAGAAGGGATAGCAGAAGTAGGCACAGAAATAGAAAAGGAGGGTCTGTTAAGGGCTGACATGTACCTTTAATTAAACAATGTTCTCACCGAGTCTATTTGAGAAGGTTTCTTTCAACCTCTGTGATTTATGGTGCAAATGTTTTAGGAATATTCTACTTAATATTAACTAATGTCTCCTTTCTTTCACAACAGATCTAGAGTAAACATCACATACAGATTTTATAACCACTGTAAAAATTTCTAGACAAAAGCATTACCTAGTATTTATATAATGTCCAAAAACCGGTTATTTAACTTAAGTAGCCATCTTAGTCCAGTTGATAGGGAAGTCATGTAATTAGGACTTTTTTAAAAAACATACTTTGCAATGGCAGGTTCATATGGAATTCCCAAAAGGGAGGGTGTTTTGCCACAAATACTTGTGGGAGAAAAATATGTGAAAACCCAAACCATTACCAAATCATTGTTAATAAAGCATTGAAGATGCAGCACATTCATTATCATGATGGTTAATTTTTATGTGTTAAGTTGCTTCGGTGATGATGCCTAGATGTTTGGTCAAACATTATTCTGGAGGTTTCAGCAAGGTGTGGTTCTTTGATGAGACTAATATTTAACTCATTAAATTTTGAGTACAGCAGATTACTTTATGATATGGTCCAATCAGATGAAGGACTTAAAGGAACAAAGACTGACCATTCCTGAGCAAGAAAGAATTCGCTCTGTACATTGCCTTTGGATTGAGGCTGCAGTTCCTCCCTGGGTCTCGGCATGCTGGCCTACCCTGCAGACCCTAGACTTGCACCTCCACAATTACGTGAGCTGATTTCTTAAAATCCTTTTTATTTATTTATTTATTAATGAGACACACACACACACACACACACACACACAGAGGCAGAGATACAGGCAGAGGGAGAAGCAGGATCCACGCAGGGAGCCTGACATGGGACTTGATCCCGGGTCTCCAGGATCACACCCTGGGCTGAAGGTGGCACTAAACTGCTGAGCCATCTGGGCCGCCCTGATTTCTTAAAATCTTAAAATAAATTTTCCGATTCTCCGTTTCTCTCTGATCTCACCTAGATTAATACAACTGTCTCTGTCCCAATGAATACTTAATCACCCTGAATAATAAGTTCCCCATCCATAAAAGAAAAAAAAACAGACCACATGACTTCAAAATTCTGTATAACCAGACTTTCTATGAGCTACAATTTGAGGTCATATTCTAAAAGAATTGTGACAGATGAGATTTTGGATGAGTTGCATTCTATTTTCACAATATGCTTAGAAGCAAAAGTTATAATTATATACAAACTAAATAATCATGTGGATATACCCTGTTCCTAAGGAAATCAGTCATGCCCATAGGATACCAGCACAAATGCAAGAGAGAGAGAGCTACATAGAGATTTTTCCCAAAATATTAGCACTTTGTTACTTTTTAAACTGTTTTTTTTTCATGAACTGACCAAACCAACTAACACTTGGTTATCATGTTAGTTAAGAGTTATTGCTTTGATTGAAATGATGTTTATTTTCAGTGGTCACTACATCTTTGCAGTGTTATTTGGCCTTTAAAAACTAATGATCTATGCAGACTTCGCATGCATATATCATCAAGAACATTTACATAAAGACACAAAATAATCTATTATCTTGATAATCCATCCACGTTGGCAACTATGTTTTTTAAACAGATGGCACTATGATAAATTTTCCAATATGTAGAAATCATGGCATGAATCTGGAAGCTTTGCACAGATGCTTATAATGAGATGTTCATGATCGCATACCCCTTGCACATTCAGAGAATGACAGAGCCTTCTGTTGTGAAAGACATTTATATGGTGAGGTTTCTTTTAGTAATGTTTAGTGATGCTGCTTTGCTTTAAGGGTGTTGTGTTCCCTAGGAAGTAAGTATGTTTAGTGGTCTCAATCTTTCAGGAAAATAATTTAAAGAGAAATTTTTGATGGAAAAGATCAATTTAGACATTATTTTTAATAAAAGGGGTTGAAAATACTCTGGCTTAAAGGAGTTTACAAAGCCAGCTTTCCAGATCTCAATACAATTTTAATTTTCAACCATAGTGCTCTCCAGGCTGTCAAGAGAAAAAACTTCAATTTGTTATATGGAGAAAATATTGTTTCAAGTGAAGAATAAAGTGTTGCTATCAAGTTATATGAATTATGATGTTATGTTAATTCTCCTTGAAATACAGGTCATAGAATAGCAGGTTAGCTGCACTACTCCGTAAAAAAATCTTTTATTGCAAAGGCACAGAGCCACTCAACTTGAGTTGTAAAGGACTTTAAGATAATATTAATAGGGAGCTAGTGACTTGGAATCTTGAGTGATGATTCCCAAGGAAGACAGATAAATCACTTGACATAATATGAATACAAATAACTGGCAGAAACAGGGATCATAACAATCTATTTATTGGTTCTCTACTACTGAAATATTTAAGTCGCTAATATTCTAGTAGCCGAGTCTCAACTCCAAACACAAATTCTGACTTTCTCTGATTTATATATGGAGAAAAACACATGGGTCCTAGCATATTCTAGGCCCTAATTTATCTATATTTACTCTCCGTCTCTGTGTCTTTCTTTCTTTGTGTGTGTCTGTCCTTTACATACCACATGTACATACAAACATGTTTTCTAAGAATTCCACGGATCAGATACAGGACCATAAGGAACTTGCACAAATATTACTAATTATTTTAACTTCATTTTAAACTTGATACTTCTAAATTATACATGAGAAATTCTCATATGTCCACATCTTTATCATATTGGCAGTCATTATTGAGCTTTACATCTAGAAACCAATTGTGATGGAAACAGGCTAAATTAAGTGCCACCTGTCTTTCAGTTGTGTATGTCTTGACTAAATCATGACCACTTTTTACCTAGGCACACTTGAGATTTTCTTGAACAGGTTATACATTTGATTGATGTGCAATAACTCTATGTCTCTATTACAAAAAAATTTAAATAGTATCAGGGACTTTCATTGAGAAAGTATTAAAACTGGAACCTACAAATTCACAATATTTTGATATCTCTTATGTGGAAGATAAATTGCCATTTTTTGATTAAGAATATAATAGTCCCTTACTGAGTCAGTAGAAAAATGTAGAAGCTATTTTTTAATTCTTTAAGCTCATTGTATTTTCTCAACTTTCCTCTCTGCACTCTTTACTTTTATTTATTCTTCTTATGTCCAGATATTGTGTTTAGTGGCTATAAAAAAATAAGAAAACTATCATGAAATACCCAGGCCAACATTTTCAAAATAAGGTCTGGGGATTCCTGGGATTCTAGGAGACTTTTTCAGGGGTCTTATAATATCAAAACTATTTCTTAACACTGAGGCTTCATTTATTTTTTTTCATACCCTTTGTCTCTTAAGTGTACTATGGAGTTTTCCAGAAGATAGATGGCACATGATGTCACAACAGATTGAATGTTGAAGCAGATGTGAGAATCCTACTGCCTTCTATTAACACAGACATTAAAAATATTTTCAAAAATGTCAGTGCTACTCTTTTGACTGAATTGTTTCGCAGTCCACAAAGTCAAGTTATTTTGTTTAAGAATATATTTAAATGAACATATGATGGATTTATTACTATTTTAAATTAATACATATTATAAGCATTTCTCTATTTTACATTTTAACACTGTGACTATTAATAGATATAACTCACCTTAAAAAGCTATTTAAAATCTTCAATTATCTTTAAATATATAAAGGAATGCAGAATTCCAAAACTGTAAGAACCTCTACCATAAATGAATCTCAAATGCCTGAGATTATTGCCATTTTCCACACATGTAAACAACTAAAGTGGCCCTAGTATCTATCTCTTCTGGTAATTTACTTAATTTTCTGGTAATTTACTTAATTTTTAACAAATTAAGATTTTTTTAATATGAAAATCACTATGCTAAGCACTAGGTCTAGAATGATCAGTAAGATCCTATGTCTATCACAGAAGGAAACTATGTTGTGGATTATCATGTTCTTACAACTAAGAGGTGTCCTCTTGTGAAATTGTAGCATGCATCTGATATAAAGCATTGTTTAGACTAATGCTTTTTGTATTTTTACATTCATTATTATGCAATGAATCATGCCTTCCTATACCTAAGGCAATGTTGTCTTAGTTACAGAAAATCCAGACCACACCTGGGCTAAACACACCGCCTTGAGAGACTTTATTATGGCAGGAATAGAGAAAAAGAAAGAGAAAGAAAGAAAAGAAAGAAAGAAAGAAAGAAAGAAAGAAAGAAAGAAAGAAAGAAAGAAAGAAAGAAAGAAAGAAAGAAAGAAAGAAAGAAAGAAAGAAAGAAAGAAAGAAAGAAAAGAAAGAAAGAAAGAGAAAGATCTCCTCACAATATAGACTTTTGAGAGTTTATTTTAAGGTCCACGTTTTTGATTTATAAAGGCTTGGCTTTGTTAAGAGAAAAAAATATTCTTGAAAAACAAAAATGAAGGCACTTACCTTAATAGAATGTTAGCTTATGTCACAACAAGAATTGAAGAGATGATGGAAGACACGACTTGGCCCCAGGAAGATGTAACTTATCTGTCATGGAATGAGGTTTAGGAGACACTGCTATCAGAGATGAGACTTAATGGAGGCCATGTACGGAGAAACAAATACAGCATCGTAAGCCTGGCCAGCATGGGTCACACCACCATCATAGAACTACATGGGATTCACATCAATGTTTGAAGCACATCAGTTCCCATAGCATGTGCTTCAAATGTGTTGGGCTGAGGAGTCGTGTAGTTACCTTTCTTATCATTGCCTGTTAAGGGCCTTCATCAATAATTTCCTGCAGTTTGCTCATGAATCATCTCAGGGAAGTGATCCTCAACTATGTTGCACAATTGTTCAGAGTTCCATCCAAAATGACCAACATGGTGTTCCAGTATTTACTTCCAGACTTCGTGTAAGCCTTTTGAATAACATAAAAGAATTTATGAAGTTAGAATGATATGAAGGGAAAGACCTTAGGTACTTCTGGACTATAGAGGTGTAAACATCCCAGACCTGTTACTTGTGGGGATTTATGTTGGCACCACAGAGGCATTACTAGTTCCTGAGGGGAATAAAAAACATAGCCTAGTTATTTGAACCCAAAAGTCAGGTACAGAATACAAATTTCCACAGCTCAATCCCTCAATGTTTTGGCCGAGAGAATATTTAAAGAGGTTGGATTTTGTAGGCAATGATTGGTCTCTATAACCGGAATACAAAGAAATGTGCTACTGGTAAGGTGGACGCTAAGTCACTCTGGAGATGTCTTGGGAAGTCAGAGAAGAATGAAGACACCTTCATTCCTCTTGAATAAGATGCAATTGCGACTCATAACTGAAAAATGATGCATAAGTACTCAGAAAGATTTGCTTGTGCTGGTGGCATAGATACTAGTAAAGGAAATAAATGTTCTCGAGCCTACTGAAGACCTACTGAATCAGAAACTTTGAAACCAAGTCCCAGGAATTTGCTTTCACTAAGCTCTGCAGGTGATTCTGATGCAAGTTGAAAATCACTGAAAATCACCATTCTTAGGGTAAGACTAATGGCCTCTAGTGTTCAGAGAGAGAAATGACAAGTGATAGAAAAACAAGTTGGGCAATACTTCACTTTCAACTGCTAGTACAAAATGGCATAAGATTAAGTGTCTTTTCCAAGGAAACAGTGTTTTACTGGGGTAGGATGAAACTGAGGTTACATTTTGGCAGAAAAAGCAATAGAATCTTATTCCCAATAACCCCTGGCTTCCACATGCATTGATTATGCATTGTATCAGAGGAAGTTTACATTTAGCCTGAATATTTATAGGTTAATTTTGAGTTTCAATTTAGACATTTTTTAATCTACCAGAAGATAACAGACTTTACTGTTAACTTTTTCCTACATCTTAAGAAATCCTTTCCAAATATCAATATAAAATTTAGAGGTCTGAGCATAGTTTTTTTGCCAAAACCAAAGTGTAGAGAAAACAGAGTATATAAATGATATCAGGACAGCTTTACTGTGACTTTGAAAGGAAATAAATGTGTGCAGAAGTAACAGGAGTATAAACATATAGAAGAGAAGGCTTGTTAAGATACGGAGTAGGTCTCTGATAAGGGACCAAAGCCCCCAGTTGGGGGTGAGGAAAAGATAAAATAGACACAAGATAAGGCTGAAAGCAAAGACCTGGAACCTGGGACATGTTATAACCACAGAAAATAGAAGTAGCAGCTTGACATTCGTAGGCAGAAGGAGAGCTAGAGATGGTGCCACAGGGATGCATCTCGGAGCTTTCTTGAACCATGAAGAGTTACAGAGCTCTTCAGTCATTCTCTGAGCATGCAAACATGAGGTAATTCTGAGAATTTGTGAGCTGCCAGGTGCTTCAAGTTGGAATAGGGGAGCAGAGGAATCTGGTAACCACGTGAAGTGAGGCAATGGACAGCTACCCAGTCATCATCAGTTGAGTATCAGCCTGATGGTCAAAAGCCAGGCCAAACCAGATGCACCTGAGCAGTCATCCGTTTTGGGTGACCATCAGGGCAGAGGTCAGGGAGGACAAGAAGGAAAGTACAGACAATGCCTTCTGTGGAGATTAGAAAGCTTCACTTTGAACCACATTATCAAAACAGGAAGTCATAATGAGAAGGGACTTTCTGGAGGAAATACCCCTGATAGGTTCTTAAACTTTTTACTGACTGAATATCTAAAGGAAAGCCAGTATTTCAAAGCAGAAGAGATTAGATTACATTTAATAAGCAAAGAAGGGGCTACTCCTCTGTCAACACCATCAGCAGGAATATATGCTCCAAGAGACCAGAGGTCAGGTACAGTTAATAAAGTCATATCTTCAGAGGTAAAATATGTAACTAAACACAGGAGTCAGGATTCATGGTTTGTCTTTTCCAACAAGCTTCTTAGATCTTCCAAGTAAAGCCTTCCCTTGCAGCCAGTGAGATATTTTGGTAACATCTCAGATAAATAGATCAATTCCATGTCCAAAGTGGTATTATAGTTGCAGTAATTAAGTAAATGCACATTCTTTAACTGAAAAAAAAAATTATAGGCAACCCATGCATCTTAAATAATAGCAACTAATTGTGTTTTTTGAAGTAGAATTTTCACTGTCATGTTAACATCTCTTAAAATAAATTTAAAAAGCTATAGCAACTGAAAAGTTTCCCAGGAACATTTTTGAAAAATCAATATGGCTTATTTACCAAAGCTAAGGTGAGAAATCTGACATGTGTGTTTTTCAAATATTGGCATCCATTCTAAGGCCATCAGATATAGCTTATAGCCAAAGTTTGAGGGCAAACAATTCAAGACATGCTATATAAAGTGATGCCAAAAATGATAATAAATGCCTCTATAAAAACAAGACTTATTCCTAAAAGACATTCTTTGTGGACAGATAACTCATGCTGACAGCTTGTGAATTCCAGAATTCTTCAAGCAATACTTCTATTGGCTCTTCTCTCTTGCCCAAGTTTACAATGTTAACTGATTATCACACAAAGGTGACTAGGAATGCATTTTAAAAGGAGTTTGGATAATTTGGGATTTTCAGTGGTGACTAGGAGCTTTACTAGGTTATATTATCCTTCTAAAAATATAGACAAGAGGATTAGGCACTAAAAAAAAAAAGTTTCAGCAAAACATGCATTGCATGGTTATGTAATTAAAATTGTAGCTTTAGCCTACAAACAAATATTTCCAAACAGCACACATTGAAAACATGCAGCCATAAATCTACTTAATGGCTTCTTCATTCAGGCCTGCAAACATAGCATTGTCTTTGTCAATTTGTCTGTAGTCCATTCTGGTAGGTGACATTGTTCTTGAGTACTAATCAATTGATGTCTCCGTGCCATCTGGCATTTTGCTGCTAAGCACAGCTGCAACACTGTAAGGTGAAGTGTGAGTGGCAAGAAGCAGGGTTTGTGTCCAGATTACACAGTCAATAAATCCTTGGTATGCCAGGCTTATCCCACCAAGTGAAGAAATGCCTTGGCAATACATTGCAGAAAATATGGCGAAAAGTAATCATTCCAATGAGATTTTGAAGATCTTGCTTTGTTTATTGAGTGACCTCTAAGAAAGGATACTGTTCTTTACTTGGGATTGAATATATAAATCTTATTAATGTTTATATCACTCCATAAAAAGATGTTACTGGAAAACCTGAGTTCATACCTGCTTCTTTACCACTTAGTTATGTTTAATATTTCTGATCCATTTTTACCTATCAGTAGGGGCCTATATAACTTCTTTTAAACTTCAGAGAGTAGAAGACAGTATGCAGAGAAAAACGGGCATATACCAGGAGTGTCCCAGACAAATGTAATAAAAGTCTGTAATTCGAGGAAATGGAGTCCCATTAAATATTGTAACATTCAAGTAAAGGCTTCAGTTCTTATCAAAATGTCTTCAAAATACTACTAATGGTTTGCTTTCAGAAAATCATAAATAATCAGGTGTTGTTTCAGCTTGGACTGATGAAATTTTACACACACCTGCCTCGAAGCAATGATAAGTAAGGTGTTGATTTCAGTGATAATTACTCATACTCAATAGTCATGTTGTACCTATAACATTCCAGGAAGCTTCTCTTTGCAATGTGTTTCATGATACCACAGTCACCATTCCTGCCACCCTAGGAATATGCACGGCTAGTTCAAAAGCATCCTGAATTTGATATTCCAAATCTCCTATTGGATTCTTTAGACAAAAGACACATGACTGACCTTCAAATAAACTGCTTCATTGAGTGTATCCAGGCGCAATACAGGGTGTTCAGAAATCATCATCGGGAAGGAACTGACAAATTCCTGTAGTAGGTACCACCTGCAACAGTTGAAGGTTTCAAAGATATCCCCAGCGAAGGGAAACATTTCTTGCTTAAAAAAATTTTTTAAAAAAAGTGTAGTTTCTCTTTCTAGCAATGAAACTCTGAGATAGGCACCTTGTACATTTAAATGGTTTTGAGCAAATTGTTCTATACATTTCATACATTCATCTATACTACCAAACAACCACCGCATTTTTATATGGTATTTACCATGTGCCAAGGACTTTGCAGGGTGCTGAGGATACAAAGATAACATTGTGTCCATTTTATAAACTCAAATGCAAGAAGGTGACTCAAGGAAATTAACTTTAAGAAACTACAGGAAGGTATTTGCTCTAAAAACAGGCCCTCTCTTTTTTTCTCTGACCACTTACCCTGGCCTACTCAGATGTTTTAACTGAAGTCATCAATGAGTACAACGTTTGCTTCGAAAATGAATGTTTGAAGAATGCCAAAGGGAGGAGAAATAAAAATAGACCCAGCTCCATCCTTCGATTTTCACATCCTCGCTCCAAAAGTGATATGTTCTTGTGATATGGCCATCCTTCTTCAAGGTCACGGAGACTGCCCTCCAATGTGCTTGTGTTCCTTCTTGTACTTTGACGTTGCAACTCCTGGAAATCCTCCACTGGCAGGTACTATAACAGAAGCAGGGACATTTCTCACTTTTGTAAGACCAAGTGTGAAAAATGGCCTGGATCATGCCTGGTGCTACAATTTTATTGTGCTTTAGGAAGCAGAGTATGATTAGCAATAGAAATAAAAATATTTTCTGGTTATTTACCTGTATAAGCTATAAAATGAAGCTATGTAACAACATGATAATTTATAACATTCTTTCTTTGCATCACTTCATGTGATTTTTTTCACCCCAGATTGAATAAAATAGTTAAACAGAAGTGTACAGTCTCTGCTGAGGGCTCTTAATGTCTCTTCTAGGCCTAGTGATACAGATGGACATAAATTTATGTCTTTAATAACTACTGCATACAGATAATTTAGATACATATAATCTATTTGTAGAAGAATATTTTGTAAGGTTATAAATAGGTCACCATTTCATATTATGTTTTTTGGGATTTGCAGCACTAACTTATGTTTTATGACATGTTGATTATTTTAAACAGAGCCAGAAATTTCACATCAGACGAATGATTACACAGAAGCGAATTAAAGTGCCATCTGATGGGTTTAGGGGAAAAAAATCAAAGGTAGAACCATTGTTGGAAGACAGCAAATTATCTAAAGCCTCTTCGTGGCCAAAATAAGCTCCCTCATATTTAAGAATATACTCTGAATACATTTCCTGTATATGGTCAAATTATTCTGTGAATGTGATCACCAAAATGAACAGACTGAAAAACAATATTAAGATGCAGACGGTACTAAGACATGGGAAGATTAATTATTGTTTGCTTGAGTATATTTAGTAACTGCAGTAATGGCCCAGCAATCCAGCACTTTGCTAAATGTCAGGCTATTTTGGCAATACATTCGTACTCCAGTTGCACAACAAAGGTAAATCTCAGCAATTTACAGTTCCTGCATTGTGGCTTTCGCCTCTATTTCTCCCTCCTCTCTCCAAAAAATAAGATTTAAATACTGGCACTTGAAAAGTCATCCTGAGATGATAAAAAAAATAAAAATAAAGGTTTTTTTTTTTTCTAAAAAGCAGAAAGAGGAATCTGGACATATTGCAAAAAGGATGAAGGGAAAGAAGACATAGGAGACAGAAGTTGGGAGGAAAAACTGAGGAGAGATTACCCTGGGAATAAAGGAAGATCCTGCCAGGGAAGGTGCCACCAGTTGCTTTCTTCTAACTATTGTCTCAGAGGTCAGTGTACGAAATGTGCTTTTATGATGATCAAAATTATTTTATAAGAAGTTTATTTTTTATTTAAGCATGTTATATGCAAATTAGGGAAATTGTCAAATTATGGAAATGAAGAAAGCAAAAGTTACAATTTCCCACCTCAATTTCCTTTTTTCTAAAGATTTTATTTATTTATTCATGAAAGACACAGAGAAAGAGGCAGAGACAGGCAGAGGGAGAAGCAGGCTCCATGCAGGGAGCCTGATGTGGGACTTGATCCCAGGCCTCCAGGATCACACCCTGGACTGAAGGCGGTGCTAAACCGCTGAGTCACCCAGGTGCCCCAATAAGTGTAACAATTTGACCCTAGAGATTTAAATCTCTATCTTTTCCATCTCAGGTCTCGCTCTGCATATTTTGCAGCCCGTGTCTCTCTACTGCTTACACACACACACACACACACACACACACACATGCACGCACGCACTCACACACACATTTGTTCCAGAATCATTGAAAAACAATGTTAGTTTGTCCTAACAAGCTCAAGGATTTTCGGGAGGGATTTACACCTCACTACAAACATCATCCCTTCCTTAATGTCTTTCTTATGCACACAACTCCCCAGCACTTGTACTTTCTAGGACAGTTCCCCAAATTGCTCCCCTCTTGTTAGCGCTTTCCCTGTATCTACCCTAAAATCTCCTTGCTTCAAACTGCAGCTTTTTTTTCTCTTTTTTTTTTTGCCTTTAACTTATTTTGCCACAAAGTTTATATTATTTTAATAATATCAAATGGGAATCTTTCCCCTTTCCAATATGCTGAACCAGTTAACGCAAGCCAAAATTTCGTTAGATCACCTGAGCATGAGGTCCAGGGCAGAATTTTTTTAACTGTTAATTTGAATTTGACTCTCTCTCTCTCCTCTCTCTCTGATTATATATAAATAATGATTATAGGATTATAGGAATGATAGTTTTGCATTACAGAAAACTTGAAAAGAGAGAGAAGCAAACATTTAGAAGTAAATATTATATATGCTCACTATACAGCAACAACCAGCACATGCTTAGGCTTTGAAATCTTTGTGTGTGTGTGTGCACAAACCACAATAGCATCATATTTTCATAGTGTTCTGCTACTCCATTTTTTTTTAAGATTTTATTTATTTATTCATGAGACACACACACAGAGAGAGGCAGAGACACAGGCAGAGGGAGAAGCAGGCTCCATGCAGGGAGCCCAATGTAAGACTCAATCCCGGGTCTCCAGAATCAGGCCCTGGGCTGAAGGCGGCGCTAAACCGCTGAGCCACCCGAGCTGCCCCGACTCACTTCTTTTAATCAAGAACTTCCACCACAGTTTTCTCATCTAATGTAACACCAGTAATTATTCAGATTTTCAAAACCAACCCTCCAGATATTGTTTCTGATATTCGAACCCATTCCTAGCATGCACCATGCAGTGCATCTGATTAAGTCCGTTAAGTGTTACCCAGTCTTACATAACTCAAGCTTTCTTCACTGTTTTGTTGAAATGACCAGACCTGAATATCCCACTTTTGGGGATTATCTGGTTACTTCATTGTGATATAGTTTATTTTTTCATTTATTTTCTTTATTTCATATAAACTTATATTTCATATAAGCCAAGATATGGCTTATAACTTGATGATAAAACACTCAATTTATTTTTTAGGTAGACTAGATACTGTTCTATGCCTTGTATTCCATTGATCCCACAGTCCATGATGCTAAGTTTGACGCCCCTGGTTAAATCATGAAATTCTGAGTGTAACCCGTGTGGTTTCTCAGGAATATCAAATATCCAGTTCTTCATCAAGCATACACCTAATGATTTTGATATCAATTGTTCATCTGTGCCTGACTCAATATATTCATCAGGGTTTGCCAAACTCTTGTTGTTTCTAGAATATGATTCCTTCTACATTTATTGGTTGTCCTTTTTAAAGTTAGAGTTGTCTCTCAGTAAGAGGGCTGTTTAGCCTGTGTTCTATTTGTCAGACTGCTGATTGAACTCAGTTATATACACAGCCAGAGATCAGGTATATTTCCAAAGATCTTACAGGAGTGTTTAGGGGTAAGTAATGATGAGATTGCAAATAATACTGAAATAATTCAGAAAAAATAATAGGCCCCTATGTGTCTATACATATATATGCATATTATCATATATATGTGTATGTGTGTATATATATATATTATTCATATATGAAGAAAGGGAAAATGATATTCAAAACAGGTCAAAATACTAACATGTGAATCTGGGTAAAGGTATCTAAGAGTTCATTACACAGTTTTGAAACTTTTCCTATATTTGAAAGTAATCTAAAGTTACATTTCAGAAAACTAATAAACTCATGAAAATATACAGTTGTGGGGCACCTGGGTGACTCAGTCAGTTCAGCATCCAACTCTTGATTTCAGCTTAGGTCATGATCTCAGAGTTGCAGAATCGAGCTCAGTGTCAGACTCTATGCTCAACAGGGAGTCTGCTCAAAATTCTCTCTGTCCCTCTCTCTCTGTCCCTCTCTATAGTCTCTCTATCTCAAATCAATCTTTTAAAAAAAGAAAATACACAGTTGATCATAGCAATAAGCAAATGAATTAAACATAGTGTTATTTTATCAAGTGAAAAGGGAAAATGATTTTCTTTTGAGCATTAGAAAAGAAACATTTTCTTAAATTGCAGTGGAAATATAAATTGATATATTTTGTGATATAAATTGGTAATATTTTTGTGGAGGTAAGTGGTCATATATGCCTTAGTCATAAGTCTACATTGCTTTTGTGGTTTATTTTTTTTTAAGATTTTATTTATTTATTCATGAGACACACAGGGAGGGAGAGAGAGAGAGAGAGAGAGAGAGAGAGAGAGAGAGAGAGAGGCAGAGACATAGGCAGAGGGAGAAGCAGGCTCCATGCAGGGAGCCTGATGTGGGACTCAGTCCCGGGACTCTAGGATCATGCCCTGGGCCGAGGCAGGTGCTAAACCGCTGAGCCACTTGGGGATTCCCATCTACATTGCTTTTGAACAATTCTGATTTAAGTAATTATCCTATGAAATATAAGAAATGTATAAAAATAGTTACAATTGTAATGCCCATTTTTATATGACTATTCCCGTGATAAATTTAAAGCAAGCTACCTGTACAACAAAGATGAGTTAATAAAATAATAGTCCACCCAGAGAAATGATTAAAATACAGGCAATAAAATTAAGTTGAAGAGAAATATTTGATAGCATCAGTTACATGAAAGCATACTACAAAATATTATATTTGACATGTTTCCAAATTAGCCTAAATTTAAAGGTATAATTGCATATGAGTAGATAGAAAAAAAAAAAGATAAACCATACATATGATAGAATAACAATTTCCTGAGGAGCCCAGCCCTGGGACTCTGCCTCTTAGAGTGTGGCCTGTGAACTTCCCTAATAAGCCTCATATAGGAGGCTAGTTTATTTAATTATTTTTTAATTATTTATTTAAATTCAACGTAGTTAACATATGGTGTATTATTACTTTCAGGAGTAGAATTTAGTGGTTCATCAGTTATATATAACACCCAGGGCTCATTACATCCCATGTCCTCCTTAAGGCCCATCACCCAGTTACCCCATCCCCCAACCGATCTCCTCCAGCAATCCTCATTTTGTTTCCTAGAGTTCAGCGTCTCTTATGGATAGTAGGAGGCTCGTTTAGAAGATCCCACTGCAGATCTATTCAAGCCAAAGCCCATGATGTGGTCCAGGAATCAGGATTTTGAAAGAGCACTTGGATTGATTCTGTGATATGTTCATGTACAGCTTTTCTGAAAGTAGGACTCTAAGATTAATCAAATGTTTGGCAAGAGTAAATTTAAGCCATATCAATAAATGAAATTATAAACAAAGAAGGGTGCTGCTTCTTTTCGCTCTCTTTTTTGTGTGTCTGTTTGAAACAATGAGTTTCTCTTCCTTTCTTTGCTCAAGCACTGTGTGATTTAGTTTCAGAGTGTATTTCCTTTGATTTCCATGAAAATCAGTTTGGTACCACATATCATCAGAAGCCACGTGTTTTTTCTTGATTTTAATTATCTTCTTGGCGTCTGGTGTTTGAGACTCTAACCAAATTGTTGGTGCCTATAAATTTCTCTTCAGAACTCCTTTATACAAACTACCTGTTTATCCAAATAAATAGCACAGGGCTACTTCAGACTCCTCATCATTCAGTCTTCCTTAACTTCAAAAGATCTTTGTTGCATCTCTAATACCCGCAGGCACTTCCATATAGCTGGCATCACACTTTAATTCTATTGTATTCGGTGCTGGGCCCACTTGAAAATCTGTCCAGAAATCCACTTTTAAACACCTGTCACATCCATGTGTGAATGTACAGTCTCAGCTCCAAGACTTCATCAGATTTATTCTGATTAAGAACATTTCCCCTTTTGGCCAGAAGTATTGGAAACGGTCTATGGAGGGCCTCAGAAGATTGCAAAATAAAAAATCTACTTTGTACTAGTCATATTCAATTATTCCACTTCTGGGAAAATAAATTAAGAAAATAAGCAAAGGGGCAGCCCCGGTGGCGCAGCGGTCTGGCGCCGCCTGCAGCCTGGGGTGTGATCCTGGAGTCCCGGGATCGAGTCCCACGTCGGGCTCCCTGCATGAACCCTGCTTCTCCCTCTGCCTGTGTCTCTGTGTCTCTGCCTCTCTCTCTGTGTCTATGAATAAATAAATAAAATCTTAAAAAAAAAAGAAAATAAGCAAAAGTTACACCTAAATATCCATACACCAAAATGCCAGTTGCAATAGTGTTCATATACAAAAATTAGATAGTATTTTTATTGCCTGTATGATTTTTGGCAAGTTACTTAAACCATTTGTGGTTAAATTTCTTCAACTATAAAATAAGAATAACAATTGTTCTCATTCAAAAGGTGGTTTTGCGTTTTAAATGAGCCAACATATTTAAAGTGCCTGGCACAATGTATGCAAATAGTAGTTATTAGCTAAAATTATCATAAAAATAACAAATGGTGCAATAAATTATGGTATACTCATTGTAATACATCACTCAGTCATTAAATATTTAGTAAAAATTAATATCATGAAATACATTTTAAAACAGGAAACAAAATTATACCTCCTTACTATTACTATACATAACTGTGACTATGTACATATATTTTGCAGAAGGCTAGATGAAATACATCAGATGATCTTTTTCATCTCTGTGATATGTAAAATGTCAATCCAAATATGTCAATCCATATTTTCTTAGGAGGAGGTCTTGTTCTTTTCAAGAAAACCCAAAGGATTAATAAAAGATCAGGGCATCTCGTGACATCAGTATGCCTAAGGAAGACTAATTGTAATATGGGATTAGTATTTCATTCTTTTCAAATCTCCCGGAATGTTGCTGTCTAGAAAACAACCAGCCCAATGGTAACTAAGTCACAATAAAAGCTTAAAAGCAAAAAGCCACTGTGACAGGCTCACTGACAATGAGCATAGACTCCAGACCATAATGAGACCATAATGAGACCATAAGACCATGTCTTGCCTGAGCTCCAGCATACATGGCTGCAAAATCTGAGCAGTGTTAATGCTGTGTCAAGAGTCTTATGGTATTTTAGCAGTGTCGCTTACAAGGAAGGCATCCTTGACAGTTAACAGCATGATCTTAATCATCCAGTGACTAGTAGCAAAAAAACATTTCCCTAACCCTGAAACATGACTCTCGAACAACCTTTGACCTACAAGGTCTGCTGGACATATGTTTTTTTTTTTTTTTTAAAAAATGGTGATGTCACAGGAGCAAAACAGCTGTTATATATCAAGCCACAAAGAAAGAGACCCTCAAAAAAAATGAGAGGAAAGAAATGCACTGACATAATGCATCAGATAATGTAGCATAGCTGAGAAATCAGAGAAAACAAACTAAAGGGGCTGTAGTAGCGAAAGGTGGTCCGCTGAGGCACAAATGCTGAGCTGAGGAAAAACTGTCAGGTGTTGTAGTCAGTTGATACTGCCAGGCAGCCACATCGCGTTTAACACGGTGTTGTGTTTAAAAGAAAAATCTACTTGTCGCAGATTATTTTTACTCTTTAGCTTCTTGTCTACCGATGAAAAGAAAATCTGTGTATATATGTGATGTATTTTACCTGGTGGGGAGTTGATATTAGGAGTATGCAAAATGCTCTGCCAAAATTCACTAACATCAAACACATCCCTTGACAATTGCTGGATTTGAGAATAAGCCACACGAGCACAGAAAACACTGCAGCAGAGCTGTGTTGGAGAGAATTATGACATTTGCATACAAAATCACACTTATTAAACCAATGAACTGTCATCAGAATGACATTTTCTTTCTTTCTTTTTTTTTTTTAAGATTTATTTATTTTAGAAAGAGAGGGAGAGAGAATCTCAAACAGGTTCCACGCCCAGTATGGAAACTGAGGCAGAGCTCCAAGTTCACCACCCTGAGACCACGATGAAAGCCGAAAACTAAGTCAGATGATTAACCAACCCACTGAGCCACTCAGGCACCCCAGAATGACTACGTTTTCAACAGAAATACTATCATTTTATAAAGCATTGCTTAATTGTCACTGTACTTACTACCTTTTAAAAAGCCTTTAGGTGGACCATGTATTTTGTAACTTTTATGTGACTAGATTGTCATCATCTAAACTATATTCTAAATACATTACAAATCATTGTAGTTAGGGGGTTTTTTATCTCCTAAATACCTCCTCAGTAGCAATCTTTGCGGAAAAGATATTTTTTAAGACCCAAGTGGCTATTGATTATCTTGGAAACAACATGAAAAGACATCAGACAAATGTAAGTTAAAATTTTGATTCCAACCACTACTAGTGGTGGAATATATAAGCTTCTTATCTTTATAAGTCTTAGCTTCTTCATCTGAAAAATACTTATCTTTATAAGTCTTAGCTTCTCCATCTGAAAAACATGTTTAGTACTACTTAATTAATGTATTTTTGGAATAAAGTAAAATAATAGACGTATCTGTCAATTATAATGACTGGCACAAGGTAGTATCAATAATAAATGACAGTTCTTATATGTGCCTATTTGAAATTTTAGCACAATATTTTTTTAAACTTTTTTTTAAAACTTTTTATTTATTTATGACAGTCACAGAGAGAGAGAGGCAGAGACACAGGCAGAGGGAGAAGCAGGCTCCATGCACCAGGAGCCCGACGTGGGATTCGATCCCGGGTCTCCAGGATCGCGCCCTGGGCCGAGGCCGACGCTAAACCACTGCGCCACCCAGGGATCCCATTTTAGCACAATATTAAAAACAAAAATGGGTTCACCTGCGATTACATGCCTAATGATTGGTCCATAGTGAACCAAAAAGTGACAGATTTAAAAGTGAAAGCTATCATTTGCAAGAGATAAAGAATGCAATTGCGTTGAGAGATCAAGCATTAAAAGTCTTTTTTTTTTCATTTTCCCAAACATAGATTTCAAAGACCATAAGCCTGAAAGGAATAAATACATCCCTGAGAACTCACACTCTTCCAGCTGACAAGTGTATCTTTTTAAAAGTTTGGTGGAGATCGTTCATTGTACTTTTTTGTCCTGACCAGAAAATTGTGGCTTCTCATCACACTTGACCGCCTGCCTGCGGGGCTCCTGGTAGGAAATCAGCAGTGCTGACCCTCCTAGACCTGGAATGCCCCCGGGGCACCGCGCTTGCCAGGGCCCACGGATCTGAGCCCTGCAGGCAGCCAACCTAACTGAGCAGCGGTCTGCAGGCGTTTACCCAGAGTAGTTACTTTGTTTCCAAGTTTCTCTTTCACACTCCCTTGTAACTACATGAAAGGCACAGATTGAAGGTGCAAAGAATTTCAATACCAAATTTCTTTAGAACTATGCGTTAGGTCTTTAAATCTTAAAATGAGCACATTTGACATTTGCATACAAAATCACACTTATTAAACCAGCGAACTGTCATCAGAATGACATTTTCTTTTTTTTTAAGATTTACTTATTTTAGAAAGAGAGGGGAGAGAGAATTTCAAACAGTTTCTATATATATATATTTCAATATTATATATATTTTTCAAACAAAAAAAATATTTTTCAGTTTCAAATATATATATTTTTTCAATATTATATATATTTTTTCAAACAGTTTCAAATATATATATATTTTTCAATGTTATATATATATTTTTCAAACAGTTTCAAATATATATATATTTTTCAGTGTTATATATATATTTTTCAAACAGTTTCAAATATATAGTTTTTTCAATATTATATATATTTTTCAAACAGTTTCAAATATATAAATATTTTTCAATATTATATATATTTTTCAGTTTCAAATATATATATATTTCAATTTTATATATATTTCTCAAAGTTTCAAATATATATATTTTTCAATATTATATATATATTTTTCAGTTTCAAATATATATATTTCAATATTATATATTTTTTCAAACAGTTTCAAATATATATATTTTTCAATATTATATTATTTTTTCAGTTTCAAATATATATATTTCAATATAATATATATTTTTCAAACAGTTTCAAATATATATATATTTTCAATATTATATATATTTTTCAAAGTTTCAAATATATATATTTTTTCAATATTATATATATATTTTTCAAACAGTTTCAAATATATATATATTTCAATATAATATATATTTTTTCAAACAGTCTCAAATATATATATATTTTCAATATTATATATATTTTTCAAACAGTTTCAAATATATATTTTTTCTTTTTTTTTCTTAAAGGGGGAAAACACCTTAAAAGTTCTGTTAGTATTTAAAAGGGAAAACACATGCATTTCCTATTCATTTTCAGCTGCTGGTAGCTAAAGAGGTTCTGCATCCCCCCCCCCCCCCCCCCCCCCCGCGCCTGCAGCCAGCGCCTGCGCTCCTAAAGGGGGAATCCGGTCACACTTCGGTACCTGAATCCCTATCGCACTGGAACCATCAGCCTCGGAACAGATGTCAGAAAGTAAAGATTGGCTGCTTCCAGAGCAGGGGCGGCTGCCAACTCTCGCGAGCTTTGTCAGGGGGGGTGGATCGCAATGTCAGGGCAGCCCACTTTGCAGGCTGGAGCCGCAGCTGCAAACCGCGTCTCCCGAAGTGTTGCATGCTCGCCGCTCCTTGCAAACCTCAGCGCCGAGGTGCAGCGCGTCAGGTAAGCTGCCGGTGTCCTGGGGCACCTCACGGCGAGGCTCACCCCGCAGGAGGAGCGTCACCCCTGCACTTGTTTGCTGTGCCCCCTGGGTGCTCCGTGGAGCACGGTTATTGCAAGTGGGACAGATGCAGCAAGCGAGCGGACACATGCATCCCATCTGCCCATTATTCAAGGAACCTAAACGGAGTCCGTTTGCCTGCGGAGGAAATAGCGAAATGTATTCAACTTTGTGCAAAGGACCGTAGTAGCACTTGTGGAATCCCTGGGATGTGTGTTCTGAGCGCCCTCCCTGCGCGAGGACGCTTCTGAGCGGTCTTTTACCCTTAAATGCATGATGCAGGGAATCTCTCCTGAAAAGAGTGACAAAAGTGGTCCCTGGCCAGTCTTACTCTATTTTTTTTTTTTTTACCTTTTTTCTTTTTTCTTTTTTTCTTTAAGTGGCATGAAAGAATAGTTCTCTTACTGTCTGGCTTGACACTGTACCTAATCATCATTTTGTCATCTGAAACTTTAACAGTATCATTGGCAAAGAATGAGGTCTAGGTTTCTTATATCTAAAAGAAAATTCTGTTTCCTACTTCGGTTTGCAAACTTTTCTCCCTGTGTCCTGTGTGTCCTTTAAGAAAAAGAAAATTCGCATTTAAAGTGTAGCAATATATTGTGAATTTGCTATTATTTCTGCTATTATAGAAACAACTAGCAAATTTAGATTTTTCTGCTCATCCTGCAGTCTTGTAAATCTGCCTTTGTTTTTAGTGACATCAGTTCTTGTTTAATCAGAGGATTAAGCATTGAATATAAAATGTGTGAATGATTAAATTAAACTGAAATGTGACCGAAATTATTCCATGGTTTAGGATCTCTATTTATAATTTATTTTTTATTTCAAAAGTAGGCCTTCCAAATTTTTATAAATCTATTACACAATAATAAACCCAGCGAGGAGTTACCGTCACTAGTCTGTCTATGCCTTCCATAATAAAAACTATCTAATGCTTATGATAAGCATAATTGTATTTCACTTATGTAAATAGTTACTTATTAGGGGATGAGCATGAGTTTTTGAAGAGTGACTTTAAATGAAAGTCTTTAGAATTCCCTGTGAATTTGAAATAACATCACCTTGGAATGACAAATAAAATTGCTAATTGGATTAGCAAAGCTGTTTCAGTATCCTAGATTTATTTTTATTCTTGTTTATTTTTAATGACCTGCTTCTTTAACCGTAAGAAAATGTCTTGAGATCCACATTTCACTTTATTTTTTTCACTTTTTAAAATATAAACTAATAATGTCTTGGCAAGTCACGTCTTGTTTATAAATTTAGTTTCTGCTTTGAGTCGTTTTTTGATAATAATTAATAATAACATATTTAAATTAATGCTTTCATGCCAAAATCTGCTCATTCTTAGAGACACTGCAGGTTGTTAGAGGATCGTAATTGAATAGGCATCAATCAAACACCAAATTCAACTTTCAAAGACCCAAGATATCTCTCTAATAGTAAATGTTTGAATTACTTCAACGATCTTCTTCCTGATTGAGGGCAGATTTGGATCTTACGCTTCTCATACCTAATATAGTGTCTTATATCTGTACACATTCTCTCAGTGCCTAGGGTACCCGAAGGATCCCTGAAAGACAGTGCTATAGTCTATTTATAAACAGACTTCCTCAGTTCCCCACTTCAGATAGCCTACAACAAAACAAGCTTTTTAGATTTGGTATAAAGGCTTAGTTGTTTTATTTTGACCAAATACATTTATAGGCGCTTGTTCTAGATCATATTATCTAGATGGCTCTTGCCCCACTATTTTAAGAAGACTTATTTTTATATAGAAATGAATCTTATAACTTAAAAAAAAACAGGAAAATTACACTTGGAGAAAACTATTATCAATATTTGCTTGGCCATCTTGTAAGAAGTCCTTGGGTGGCCAATTATTTTGAAAAGGTGGTTGATAATTAGCTATGGCAAATAAGTAGCTCTGTCAATCATTTTATTACATCCATATCTTAGGGCATAACATATATTTCTTAAAATTGATACTACTTTCAAAATTAATTCAAAAATGAAAAGAATAATGTTTTTTTGCATTTTTTTTTAATTTTCAAAGTTACATTGTTAAAAGTTTGGAATATTTTCCAAAAATTGCCAGTTTTTGATATCCTGAAGATTTTGATATCCTGAAGCACTTGACAAACTTGGGATACTGTAGTCTTTATTATCTTCCAGGTTTTTCCCTCTTCCCACTCCCTTCATTCATTTTCTTTTGCAATTCCAAAGGAGGACTCTTGCCTTTCTTTCAAAAACTATGGCAGTAAGTGAATTAAATTCCAATACTCACTGTAGTTGGTATGAAAAATTTCCCCATTCTTTATGATAAATGGATTATATATTCCCGAAGTTTAAATTGTTTATTTAATGTGACATTATTCAACTTGCACCAGAATTTATTGAAGAAAGACAAATGAAGTTTTAGTTAATGTTTTAATTATTGATAAAGATTTGGATATATAGGCTAATTATATTTTCTCAGTCTCCTTTATTCCTCCTTTGATTATTTAATCATGTGATAACATATACTAAAAACATGAAGCAACCTGTTAAAATAGAGAATACTGGATTATGAAGAGGACAAAATAATGCTTATTTAAATAAGGGCTGCAGCTAACTATGAAAATATTAGCCTACACTAACCTAGCAATGTGGACATGCATATTTTCATGTTAAAGTCTAAACTTAATAATATGGTATATAAGCGCTCCAACAGGTAGCATGGTGGTGAGTTGGAATTATATTGCCATTCTTACAGTGAATACATGCTTACAATGATTTTTTTGAATGTTACTAATTACATTATTTGTGAGCTGATGACTCACAGATCATCCTTGAGAAAGCAACATAATTACTTGCCTAAATCATACTATATAACGTTAACATCTTTTCAGCACAAACATAAATAAAAACATACAAGACACAGCTATGTAGATCAAGCTAAGTGACCTGGAATGATACTATAACCTTTTAAGTGTTATAGTAGATATTTTTTTAATATTCAAGGAAAATTATTGCATTTATTAATTACATACAAAACCAGAATGTTTTGGTAGTATATTATACTTGCTGTGCAATATAATTATTAAAGTATACAACAAACATTTGAAAATTATCAGAGACCAAAAATCACATAGCATTAAGTGTTTGGTTTATAAAGGTAAAATAATGTTTATATAAAACCAAGAAAAAAAAAAAAACAGACAATCTTTACACTCAGAAGAACATTGCTTGAGCGGGGCCACAGGGAGGAATGAGTACAACCAGACATGCTGCAATGAATCTGTTGAAATGTAGGTTAGAGTTAACCCGATTTGTATCTTAATTCCTATTTTCTTTGCAAAGCAGGTTTTTAAAAAAGAAAAAAAATCCATTGCTGCACTTTGTTCTCCCTCCATCTATTTAAGAGAAAGGGTTTAGAAATTATCAGAAGGAATTAAAAAAATAAGACTGCGGTTGGTATGCCTCTAAAACTCCTGAACTGTCAGAAATATAAAATTTCAGTAGTAAGTGCTAAGTCTACCAGAAGCTTCACATTATTACTACATTATCACAATGTTATGATATCATATATTATAGTTATCATAATTTATCATAAATATAGCATATCATAATAGTATAGAAATCATAAATATAAGCACAGAAATAGTATTAAAGTATTATATACTTCAATAACATTTTAATGGTCTTTACAGGTTCAGTTGTATCAAAATTGAGAGCATAAAATAATCACTGTTTTTTTAAAAAACTTGTTAGCTTAATAATCATTATAGATAGACATATATGTGTATATATATGCATAAATATATAGACATTGATATAATTAAATCTAGATAAATAGATATATAAACAGAAACAGAGGTAGAGATATCTGTAAGTACACTAACAAAATACTGTACACAGTTGATCAGTTTATCCAGATCTTTTGGGGGCTCAAAACCTACTTGCTGATCACTAGCTATACCATTAGCAGTGGCAAATGAGGTTGATTTAACATGTGAGAATCCTAATCCTGTGACAGTTTTCAGGATAATACTTTATTTTCTCTACCTTCTGAGACAACCTAAATTTAAAAAAAAAAAAAAAAAACACTAATACAAATTCTCAAAGCTCACAGGATTAGCTTCTTAGGCACATAGATTGTATTTACAACTACAGTATGAAAAAATAATACAGAAAAGGTTGTGTACATTTGCGGACCTTTGTTATTATTGCGTGGAGGAGAATCATTGTTTGTATTTGACTGTTTCAATCAGGTTTTATTCCAGTTATATAAAGCTGTTAGTTCTTTAAAAAAATATGGGCATTACATTTCTGTGTCCCTCTGTGTCATGTGAAGTTTCAGAATCTGATTTTTAAGTGTTACTAACTTTAAGGAAACTCGGTGTGCATTATGAATTTTTTAGAAGATGGATTTATTTATTTGACAGAGAGCAAGCACTAGTGCAAGTGGGGACGGGGGCCGATAAGGGAGAGGGAGCGTGGAGCCCCATGCTGCTAGATCACAGGACCCATGAAATCATGGCCTGAGCTGAAACCAAGAGTAGAACCCCACCCCACTGAGCCACCCAGGTGCCCCACATTATGAATTTTTAATAAAACTGATTTCCACCAGCAATCTTTCCATGTCATAAATAAATATTATTTAATAGAATGTCAAAGGGTTATGATTTGGTAGGTCTCAAAGATTCCTTTTTCTTCCTCTACTCTTCCCAGTAGTTCCTTAGCCTTCGTCCTCTTAATCTCACTTATTTTGTCCACTGTCAAAACACAAGTGATCCAAACACGTTGACACATTTAACCTCACCAGTCGCATATACTTTAATCAATTAACAAATAACATTGAGTAATCCCTGAGTGTAAAATTCCTTCAAAGTATCTCCTCTCACACATCATATTATCAGCTGCTGCTTCTCTCCACTGACATTGTAATTCAGGTGGAGAAGGCTTTCTCTGTTACTCACTTTCAAAGAAATTGTCTGGTATATACCCGCAGCCCTCTCTTCCAGTTTTCCCCCATAGTTCTTTAAGGTGGTAGCAGATTTGTGGTAGCAGATATGTTAATTTTCACAGTTTTTAGGAAAAATGACAACTGCTGAATTTTTGTTACTTAATATCCTATGAATAGATCATCCAAATTCTCTTCTGGGTTGTGTAGAGGAAGAAACCACAAAGCAAAAAGGACCACAGAAGGGACCATGGAAACAGAAAAAGCCACTAACAGAAGTCTGGGGATCCTTAAAAGTTCTCATTCTACTTCACAATTCTGTCAAGAGCTGGGTGACCGCACACATTTCCGACAATACATGACCTTATGTTTCCTCCTCTAACTGAGGTAGAAATTATAACTGTCATAAGTTGTCTTCCACTTAATGCCCCTTTTGGCATGTCTGTGTACAGTAAAAAAGTATAAACGTATAAATCTACATGCCTGGGACAAACTTCTGCTTTAAAATGCTTAATCTTCCTTACAGAGACTTGATAATGAATCTTTCCAAAATGAAATAATTTCTACCTTTCCATTCCACTTATTTCTATTCTAAATTGAAAAGTGAAATATTTCCAAGCATTTTCTGTGTGTGTGTGTGTGTGTTTACAAAACCTGTTTCATACTAGCAGATTTATTGGTTTTCATAATTGGTAGGATTAATAAGAACTACTGTATTTGGGCTAATCATCATAAATAAAATATAATATTTGATGCATGAGGCTTTTAAAACTTCCTAATTACCTCTCTTTCAGAAACCAACATGCAGAGCAAGGGTACAATCCTAAGCATCCGACTTCTCTTGTGGTTTCTCCTGCTCTGGGTGCTTATTGGGAAGTCACACACCGAAGAAGACATCGTCATTACAACCAAGAATGGAAAAGTCCGAGGGATGAACTTGCCGGTTCTTGGTGGCACAGTCACAGCCTTTCTTGGAATTCCCTACGCACAGCCACCTCTTGGTAGACTTCGATTCAAAAAGCCGCAATTCTTGACCAAATGGTCCGATATTTGGAATGCCACAAAATATGCAAATTCTTGCTATCAGAACACAGATCAAAGTTTCCCAGGTTTCCCTGGATCAGAGATGTGGAACCCAAACACTGATCTCAGCGAAGACTGTTTATATCTGAATGTGTGGATTCCAACACCTATACCAAAAAACGCCACTGTAATGATATGGATCTATGGTGGTGGTTTTCAAACAGGAACATCGTCTTTACCTGTTTATGATGGCAAATTTCTGGCTCGGGTTGAAAGAGTTATTGTAGTCTCAATGAACTATAGGGTGGGGGCCCTGGGATTCTTATCTTTACCAGGAAATCCCGAGGCCCCAGGGAACCTGGGCTTATTTGACCAACAACTGGCACTTCAGTGGGTGCAAAAGAACATAGCAGCCTTTGGTGGAAATCCTAAAAGTGTAACTCTCTTTGGAGAAAGTGCAGGGGCAGGTTCAGTTGGCCTTCATCTACTTTCTCCTCGAAGCCAACCGTTGTTTACCAGAGCCATTCTGCAAAGTGGATCCTCTAATGCCCCTTGGGCAGTAATGTCTCCTAAAGAAGCCAGGAACAGAACGTTGACCTTGGCTAAATTTATTGGTTGCTCTAGAGAAAATGAGACGGAGATAATCAAATGCCTTCGAAACAAAGATCCCCAGGAAATTCTACTGAATGAAGTATTGGTTGTCCCCTCTGATACTCTTTTGTCTGTAAACTTTGGTCCAATTGTGGATGGGGATTTTCTCACTGACATGCCCCACACACTACTCCAACTTGGACAGGTCAAAAAAGCCCAGATCTTGGTGGGTGCTAACAAAGATGAAGGGACAGCATTTTTAGTATATCGTGCTCCTGGTTTCAGCAAAGATAACGACAGTATCATAACCAGAAAAGAATTTCAGGAAGGCTTAAAAATGTATTTTCCAGGAGTGAGTGAATTTGGAAGGGAATCGATCCTTTTTTATTATGTAGACTTGTTAGATGATCAGAGGGATGAAAAATACCGTGACGCATTGGATGATGTTCTTGGCGATTACAATATCATATGCCCTGCCTTGGAGTTCACCAAAAAGTTCTCAGAATTGGGAAATAATGCCTTTTTCTACTATTTTGAACACCGATCCTCCCAACTTCCTTGGCCAGAATGGATGGGAGTGATGCATGGTTATGAAATTGAATTTGTCTTTGGTTTACCTCTGGAAAGAAGAGCTAATTACACAAAAGCTGAGGAAATTTTGAGTAGATCCATAATGAAATACTGGGCAACTTTTGCAAAATATGGGTAAGTGCTGATTTTTTGTAATTGTTCTTGTTTGATTTTTATTTGGTTTTGCTTAGCTCCGCTTGCTCTCTGGTATAGACTTCATTAAAGGCACAGAAATGTTTTATTATTTTATTTTATTATTTTATTATTTATTCTTCTTTGTACCATAGGCTACTTTGGCGTTTTATTAATATAATGAATTTCAATTTCTTGCATCAAGGTACTAAAAGAAATCAGCGAAGAACTATTATGAAAAATATTTTCTGATATCCTTTCCAAAGGACTGCAAAGTACTTTCGTAATGTTAGCCAAAGTTTATATGCTAATAGATGTTTACCTTGAAAACTAAAGTTATTATGACCACACTTTTTAACTTGAAAGTTTATAGAGTTTCCAGTTTAGGGAAGAGTAGGAATATGTCTTCTTTCATGCTCATAAGCATATATAGTGGTAACTGATAGGTAGAAAAACATATTGCCATTCAGGAAAATCAAAGCACAGGATGGTGGTGGAGTTGGATTACTCAGATTACTTCAAAAACAGATGCAGAATTCAGCATTTTATCGATTTTTCCCCTAATAGGTTTGTTCAGAGCTTTCAGGTGATGTGTATTGGACAGGAGAAGCTACGAGTGTTCTCGCATTAGCTAAGCTGCCTCCCACTTGAACAGCTATTTGGCCGACATTAGATAATCAGAAGTATGTTAGAAGAAACTATTTTTCTTCATATGTCACAAATATTGTGATATTATGTCCCCAAGAGTCAGAAGAAAATAATCCGTTCAAATATATTTTCTAAATTGTATCTCTTAAATATACAGATGCATGGTAGAGAAAATAAGGGTTTTTTTTTTTGTAACCCCCAAAATAATTTTATGCATTGGGATAATTTGTATCAGTGAGAAAACCAAAAGAAAGAGAAGTTCAGACATCTGTTTTTAAAAGGAGTCCTGACAGAAACTCACAACTTGATAGATGCTTTAATCCAATCTGTCATATTATCTTTTATAATTGAAAAGAATGTTGATAGTGATATTATTGCTTTCTGGTTTTCTCTTCCAACCTCCATTTGAAATTCATTATCTCTTCGTGTCACTATATAAATCTTCTACAAAGTACTTGTGTGATATAATTCTTCTCAAACGTTTTTTAGTGCTTATCCACTGCGTCTAAACCGAAAATTCTTTCGTCTGTCATTAAGAGACCTCTATAATCTTACTGCGGCTCAGATTCCCCAACAGTACGTGGCTTCCAATGATCTCATGAATGCCAAAGATTGTAAGCTTAATATACCTTGGAGCCCGCTCTTGCTCTGCACCCTGCTTAGAACATGTTCCCCTCTCCTTTTTAATGACACAAGTCCTACTTTTGTTGAGGTCCTGAGCACCCACATGTGTCGCCAAGTGTATCTTTAATTCCTAGAGTGGTAATTGCTTTGGACCTCTTTTTCCTTCTCAACAGAAGTTATTGACTGTAACTGGTCTCTGTGTGTTTTCTCACTGTATGCTGAGCCTCCCAAACTATAATGAAGTAGCTTCTGAAAAGAGAAACTGGTTTTACTGGAAACTCATGGAAGTACTGCCGTAGGCATATGACAAATTTATCAGACATCTGGTTATCAAGTGACTGAACAAAAACAAGTAAAGGCTAGAATGAGCAAAAATGTACCTATGTTCAAGATATGCAGACTGTTACTTTATCTGTAGTTGTGCAGTATCTTATGACTTCTCCACATCAGCTTCAATTTCTGCTAAAGAAGGATCATCATTTCTAGAGCAGCGGTAGAGTTATTTCTATCTCATTTTGTTCTCACCCTAAAGGCTAGATCTATATTAAATCATTTTAATATGTTTTAAATTCTTTCTTACGATTCTAGATATTATAAAGAATTTAAGGAGATATGTTTCTTAAAATTATTGATGCCTGTAATTTTTAAAAGACTTTAAATTTTACATGTCTTTGAAGACAGTCTTTGACACTTAGTAGAATAGATTGTCTAACCCTAATCTACTTCTGTGATTAACATATTTTCGTGGGAAATACATGGAGGTTGACATATTTCAATTATAATGATAAACTCATATAAATAGGATTATAAACCATAAAGATTAGGGGAAATTTTTAAAAGCAGTTTAGTTATCACAAGAGGTCATTTTAGTTGGGAAGTTTCTTTACAGTCCATATTTGCATAGTCCAACAGAAATAATAATCCTTCTTATGTGTTGAGAGTTGACTTGATGGCAAACATGATGTTAATCTCCTGGTATACATTATCTGTCTTCAAAGCACAACTGTGAATAAAAATAGAAGCTTAGAATGGTCAAGTAAACTCCAGTGGAAGCAAAGGTGGTAAATGTATAGTTTGTAAATCCATCCACATCTATCTGACCACAAAAGTGATATATTCTAACTCTGTGGTTTTCAATGCATGGAGATTAATCCCCTAGCCCCTCACCTTCCCACCCCTGGGAACATGCAATGATGTCTGGAGCTGGATTGGAGTGTCACAACAGAGAGTGAGGGTGATACTAGCAAGGTAGAGTCCAGGGATGCTCCTACACCTCCTCAAAACACAAAATAGCCCCCACACCAACAAAAAATTATTCATTCCAAATGTTAGTAATACCAAGCTTGAGAAACCGCAGGTTTAGGCTTCTTCATAAGCCCAAAATGACACATTAACAAAGTGAAAAAGCAGAACTAGGATCTGTAATAAATTACTCAGGAAAACGAGTTTTCAAGTTCATGGTTCATAAAATGTTTTAGCAAATTCTCCTTCTTAAATCCTGTCTAGTATGCATTGTGGTTTTTGTTGTAATTAAATTCAAAATAAGGGGTGCCTGGGTGGCTCAGTTGGTTGAGTATCTGAATCTTGGCCTCAGCTCCGGTCTTGGCCTTAAGGTCGTTAGTTCAAAACCCTCCTGTTGGGCTCCACACTGGGAGTGGAGCCTACTTTAAAAAAAATTTTAATTCAAAATAATTTTGAATTTTTCTTGGTGATTTTTATTATTTTTGCCAATGCCTCCTTTAGTAAACTGTTATTTAACTCCCAATTATTTGGATAATTTCTAGATATTTCGTTGTTGATTTCTAAATTAATTCCATTTTAGTAACAGGCAATACTCTGTAAGATTTTCATCATTGAAATATTATTAAAAACTATTTAATAACCCAGCATATGAGCTATATTGGTGATTATTTTATGTGTTCTTCCATTACCTGGTATGGTGTGTTCTGTAAATTTACTAGTTGATGGTCACTCAGGTCTTCTGATATTCTCCCTAATATTTTTGTTTCAAATACTGAGAGAGAGTTACTGACATCTTCAACTGTAATTGTGGTATTAATCATTTATCCATTTGGCTCTGCTAATTTCTTTTAATATTTTCAATCTATGGTATTAATTTTAAATCCATGCTATTAATTTCCATGCATATTTAGGATTATTTAGTCCTGATTATTTTTATCATTATGAAATGTCTCTTTTCATCCCAAAGTTGGCTTTGTGTAATATCAAGATAGACATGCCAAGTTTCCCATACTTGTGTTTACATATTTTATCCCACTTGTATTTTTAAAGAAATCTTCCTTACAGTTGAGTTGGTATGATTAATTCACTTAATATTTAATGTATTTTTCAATATGATTTTAAGTATATCATCCTGGTTTTTTTTATTCATTTTTCCTGTTGCTCCTTTGCAGCTTTCTTTTTTTTTGCATTAATTAAAATGTTTTTTATCATTCCATTTTATTTGTATAAAGACATTTTAATTTGCCCTTAATATTTTTTTCCAGTGGCTGCTTAGGGCTAGGAATTGTTTAACTTGTGAAGTCAACCTAGTTAATACTGAAACATTTTGCATATTGCTACTGGCATTTCCCACTTTCTTCACAATTATCATTTCCCACTTTCCCTGTCCCCCTTACTACTTCACAAATGCAAGAAACTAACAATACTGTTCCATGTATTCTCAATGTTCTTTGTATTGCTGTTGTATGTTTAGGCAATGTGTAATATAAAATCTCTCTTAATATATTACTTGCTTTAAACCATCAGTTATGGGATGCCTAGGTGGCTCAGCAGGTAAAGCATCTGCCTTCAGCTTAGGGTGTGATCCTAGAGTCCCGGGATCGAGTCCCACATTGGGCTCCCTGCATGGAGCCTGCTTCTCCCTCTGCCTGTGTCTCTGCCTCTCTCTCTCTCTCTCTCTCCTCTCTCTCCTCTCTCTCTTTGTATCTCATGAATAAATAAAATCTTTTTGAAAAATTTTTAAAAATGAACCATCAGTTATATTTGTGTAAATTAATAAAAGAAAAAATGGTCTATGTACCCATAGGATTGCCATTTCTAACCTTTATTCTTACCTATGGATTCCAGTTTTCATGTGTTATCCTTCGCTTCATGCTGAGGAACATTCTTTAGGATTTCTCATGGTGTAGTTTGGCTAGTTACAAATTCATCACTTTCCCTTATCTGGAAATGCTTTTTTTTTTTTTTTTTACCTCCATTGAAGGATATTTTTTAAGAATATAGAATTCTGAGTTGATTTTTTTTTCTTTTCCATTATCTTCTTGTCTCTCTAGTACTGATGCAAAGTGAGCTTTTATTCATATGACTTTCCCCCTGTATGCAATATCTTTTTTTTTCTCACCCCTTTGGGTTGATTTTAAATTTTTCTCTTTATCTTGAATTTTCAATAGTTTGTCCATGACGTTTCCAAGTGTAATTTTTTTTCGGTCTGCAGTCCACTTAGATTCTTCTTGTTGATTTTTAATGTCATATTTGAGATATTTTGGGTCAACATTTCATCGAATATTCTTTCTGCCTCTTTCCCATTCTCATCTCCTTCTAAAACTCCAATTATATGTATACTACGTTGTTTAAAATTTCATAGGTCACTAAATTTCTGTTCCCATTTCTTCAGTTTTGCTTCTGTTTTTCAAATTAATACTCTTAATTGATTTCTCTGCAAGCTCACTACCCTTCTAATCTTCCCCAATTTGTGGCTGAAACTATCC